ATACACACCTGTCGAAATTAAACACATCAGGCTTTCAGTGGATAAAAAGGCTGTAAAAAAACACTGTACACCATCTGATAGATAGATAGATATAGATATAGATATATAGATAGATATAGAGATAGATAGATAGATAGATAGAGATATAGATAGATAGATAGATATAGAGATAGATAGATAGATAGATAGAGATAGATAGATAGATAGATATATATATCTAGATAGATATATATCTATATGATAGAGAGAAAGAGAGAGATAGAGAGAGAGAGAGAGAGAGAGAGATATTATATATAATCTCACACAGTTGGTAGAGACCAAAAACTCTATATTGGACACAACTCCAAATGAATGATAATGAAGCTCTGCGTCTGCTTGATGTGCAAATAAACAAATGTCCTACATATCAACTTTAAAAGGTGACAAAAGATGCGTTCGAGATGACTGCACCTGACTTTCGCCAACTTGATAGTCAAACTTGAGCTGCAGGCGACTGCAGGGTATACAACACTGCCGTCAAGTCGGATACATTCTACCTCCCATAGAGTGCGTAAGCTCACTGTGAGCTTAGAACAGTGACTGATCTGGTGACCATTGCCTTTGCAAATGCCTCAAGATCAGGCAAAAGGGGGTTCCCACAGCTGGAGTAAAGCAACTGCGGTTGTCGGACGCAGAAAGCTGCAGCTACATCTAAATAACATTTAGATGTGCCAGCAAAACTCGGACAAAATTTCTAACCAGCATGCCTTATGTTAAGTCCAGCATGCATCAGTCAGTGCTGCAGGTGCCGCATGAAGTCAAACGCACCTACTATGTCAGTGTTGTGTTCACAAGTGGCCAAACAATCAGATATTGCAGGTTTACTAATGGCCCAGTAGTGCCCTAGATTTTCCATATTTAATAGTTCCATTTAAAAGGATTTCACCACAAAAAAATAATGGCGTAGTTTAAAAAAGGAAATGCACAGTGAGCTTTGATGTTATTAAAACATGTCTGAGAATTTAATTTTATTGTGTAGGTCTGATTCGTGATGGAAGGTTACAGCTATATCTTTAATAGAAAACTGCATGTATACACAGCTTATGTACAGCTTTAGTTCTTAGTGGACAGTATGCACAGTAAGCAAAATGAACTTGCATGTGAAAATATATGAAATAAGTTATGCATTTCTTAGTTTATGTTTGCCATTCATTTTTTTTTCAAATTGTGCATGTGTATTTGCTCTTTTGAATGTTCAGTCTGTATCAGGAGCAACCAATTTAGAGATGAAATAAACATTTGACCTCTCTCTACAGTCTGTATCAGGACGGTTCAGGCCGGCAGTGCTTGTTGATAGAGAGGTTGACGAAGTCTGATGCTGGTTGGTATACTCTCTCTGCTATCAATGAAGCTGGCATGTCCACATGCAACGCCAGGCTGGATGTAGGCAGTAAGTCCACTGTGTGTGTTCATCTTTCTGTGCAAATTTGCTTTAAAGGGCCCATCTCTGCTATCTGTTGTATGACATAGCCCGGTAGTTACTATAGTAGCCCAGGCTGTAAAACCTAACAGCAGATGGAGAATGTTGTGCGCTCAACGCTACAGTGGATCCAGCTCCGCAGCCTGGAGCACGTCAGACAAATGCTGTGTTACGTGATCAAGCGGAAATTTGATGAACGTATGAAGGATAAGTGTGGAGTCCATCCACTGATGAGAGAGAGCTCACCGGAGGAAAATACAAAACAGCTATTAGGTTTCCGCTTGATCACATAACACGCCATCTGCTTTGTGGAGAGGCAGCTGAGTGAGGGGACCCACAAAGAAAAGTACCTGACGCTCTGCTACACATGAGCTGGACTTTATTAGCAAACCTGAAAGTGAGTTTAGACCAATTTATCTGAGCCAGGACTCTGTACTGTAGTTAAACAGACCCTCATAACATAACAGGTTTAACAGGGTCTTTAATCACTATGAACTTCGTTAGATAGTTTAACGGTAAAAATAGAACATGGTCAGCAGCTACATTGTGTGGGTGTATGAGTGCTGGTGGTATAGACTCTGAAAACATTACAGTTAAATTATTGTGCAAGTATGAAAATCTGTGGATGTGTTGCTCTGCTAATGAAACACATTTTGAATACAGAGCTGTGCAGAGCTTCATTTTGATTTAGTTTTGAGGCTCTCTTTCTTAACGCTGGCGTGACGCTGTAATCGTTAGAATATACAGTACAATACATTACCCATACAGAGCACGTTGTAGTTCAGTTCATTTTAGTTTATTTCAGACTAAAGGTTTCGTCTGAGCTCTTTTTATTTTTAAACACCTGCTTTGGTTTGTTCTGTGTGTTGTGTAATATTATTTAGTACTTGTACATTTTGAGTATTGATGAAATGTAAACGGTAGTGATTGATTACAGTTCAGCTGATTTGCAGCGACAGCCATACGCACATGCAGAGGACGTGTACTCACATACATCAGGCCCCAGATGCATGAAACTCTAAAAGCACTAGTTAAGAGTTTTGCGAGTTTAATACAGCCGTGGACCCATTGTATTAACAAATGTGTGTTGGTTCCATATCTGGCACTGAGCCGTGCGGTCCTGTGCTATGGAGTGCAGGGTAGAAGAGTTATTTTCAGACACCTGGCATGAAAGGAATGTTTAGCCTGCGATCGTCCACCACTAAAATGTGTTGCTACTGTCGGTGACACCAGCGGTGTTATCTCAAAATGATAAGGTAATGGATCACTACATTAGGCATTGCTTTTAAATTGAACAATCTTGCTTCACTGGCAAAGACTATAATATATGATGTTCATATGATGATGAAATTCAACAACTGCAATAAATAATAATAATAATAATAGCGTAATAATTACAGTGTAGCCTTCTTCTAACAAAGTGATTCCAATCCAAATTAGGTTTAACATGTTTAAATCTGGTGTCACACAACATAACAATCAAATACGTGTGGATAGATCAGTAAAGGTAACTGTATCGGTATCTGAATTCTTCTCTCCCCTCTCTGCCCCGCGCAGCTCGCACAGCTCCACCTATGAAAACGGCGCCCCCTGGCTCGAAGACGCTCAAGCTGCTGTCCTCTCTGAGCCACGTGCCCGCTCTGACTGTGGAGAGCCCCGCCCAGCACACCGCCCCACTCTACGAGAGTGAAGAGCTGTAGACCCGCACTAAACCCAGTCACATCCTCAGATAACTGTCACACACCTCAGAACTGTTGGACCGGGCCGCAGCCCGTGTTCACTGACTTTAAAGGCAGATATAGTGCTAACCGGGCTTTGGTTCAGAATACAAATGAACAGCATTGCAGCAGACGAGGACACATTTCAGAATCCACGTCAGGTTAATTAAACAACCAACATTCTGTTGTATTATTGTACAAGGCTGATAAACTCTCCAGTTTTATTTCAAATTTTATTTAAAGATTAAGTTACAATAAATTACAAGTTACGTGTTTAAAACAACCACCGTAACCATAAGGAGCACTTGGCAGCTACTTTGAGAGAAAGGTTTCCATATCAAGTGCCTTCGACGTTAAAATAATCCCGCCTCATACTGTCCATCTGCTGCCATTTGTCACCACCGTGCCTGCTCTTTCTGTCTGTCTGTGGTTTAAGGCCGCAGAGCTGCTGTGATACACACCTCTGCGTTATCTTGAAACACAGTTTCCAGCTCTTTCCCATGGTCTAGGTTAGAAAACAGGAAGCAAACTAATTATTAAATAATCAACTACAGTACCCACAATCCAACGCTGCACTTTAATCCTGACATCTGTCTGCTTGTCACTCTGTGTGATCAAGCACCTGCCTCTCCTTTCCCCCAGTGTGTAACTAAGTAAGGACGCGTTTGTGTTTGAGCCTCCAGACTTCTGTAAAGCTCCATTAACTGGAATAGAAAATCTGGTTTTAAGTCCCCCCCTCCCCCCAGCTCAGATGTCACAGTTGGTAACTGCTCTGATTCTCTGCTGTGGTATAAAGTCAGCCTAATGTGTTTTTAAAGTTGGTATCTAATATACATTGTCTGTGAATGAAGTTATTTATTTGAAGTTATTAGTTCTGAGTGTTGGGACTGAAGTTGCCCATCTCCTGGCCTGCAAAAGGCTGCAACCAGAGGTGTATAATATCAGCGAGTTGGATGAAGAGCAACAGGCTGCCATTCTGATACCCTGCTCTCAAAAAGAGCACTCTCTTTATACTTTACCCAGGAGAAAAAAAAAACCATTGTCCTTTCTTTCATTTTGAACATTCAGTTGAAAAAATGTATCAGTGTGTCAGCCTTTGCCCAGATTTGCCACACTCTCTATTTCTGACCAGAGCCATGCTTAAAAAGATCTGCCACAAAGAGGCTCGATTTGCCTTCTTACCTTGGAACTGCTTGTAGTTACTGCCAGCCAGGAACACATTTTACTGGTATGTTTTGGCTGGATCTGCATGCAAACTGAAAATCCGGTATTTAACCCTGTGCAGCCGCAGCCCAGTCTTTTAAGATGCCCATCCAAGATGAACGTTGAGATGCATGTTCTGGTTCAGATGCAGTGTAGCTGGGCTGCATTTAAACATGAACTAATGGTTCTAGATGTAGTATTTCTCCAGTTTGTCATGTTTGGATCACACAGGGTTAAACACTGGATTTGTTTAAAGCACTACAATTGTTTTGGTAAGTTTGGTCCTTTCTTTTGAGATTTGAAACTGCAGGTAGTAGTGTGTTTTCTCAAGTACTGTTTGTTGTGTAAGATGTTCTACATATCACCGGATGAATGACGAATAAAGTTTGTGACCTTGGCTTTGCCTCCTGGCATGTATTTACTTTTTAATAGTTGGCACTGTGGTCTAGTGGTCTCCAGACCAGCAGACACCCTTCTGAAGTGAGAGTCACACCCTAGCAACTCATTTTCAAAATAATTTATTAATCCCATCATGCACTGCTGCCCTCTGGTGGCGGTGTTCAACACTTGCTAATGAAGAACTGCCTTTAAAATATGTTCCAATCACATACACACAGGTGTTACAGTTTGGTCTTTTTATTAAAAACATAAGTAGAAGACAATATCAAAAAAATCACACAAAACATGTTTCTGGTTAAAAGAGGACTGGCAGATGGTAGAAATAGTTCAGCCATTAATGTACATCCGTTATGATCCTATTTCAATAAAGTTCCTCAGTGACGGCCTGGCACTCTGACCTGATCACTGGATCAACTACCTTCAGTGCGAAATGTTTTAATACCAAACTACCAGCCTCAGGGCCACAGCTGTCCTCTACGTTATGAACACACTCACAGTTTTATACATTTCTACGTGTATATACAGTAACGAGCAGAGGACGCAGAAGAGAAAGGAATGCTGATTGGATCAGCTCAAGTCCAGAAATGCACATCGCTGTCGAGTTAAAATGATAGGTGATGTGAAAGTGCCCAGCTCTACACCAGGGCTTGACTCTTTCAGAGCTGTAAGGCACATGGATAATGCTGGGATTTAAAAACGGAAAGAAAGGGGTAAAATAAGAAGTGTTATGGTTGGAATCATTTGTTCCTGGCTTATGTGTGACAGACACTTGAACAGCTTCTCACATGCGCATGTCATGTAAGATGAAATGACACCTTGTAGAAACTGTTTCTGCCTTCACGTGTCTCCTTTATGTGTGAGGGGAAAAATAATTGCTTAAGCTGAGTCCTAAAACCAAAATAAACATATTGCTGCTAAGTTAAATTCGGCTGATTAAAACAATTATAATTACTTGAAGGTGACATTTTCATGTTTCAAAGGTCAAATACATTTCATTACCAAGATAATATGGAACATATTACAGGTGGAAAAATAAAAAATATCTAGTTATTTCACTGTTCATGTGCATGTACAGAATAGGAAGTTTTGAGTTCTGATTCTAGCTGACAGTGTTTGTAAATTCAAGATTCAAGAACATCCTATTATAAACGCAACACAGCTGATACATGTTTCAGTGTTCAGCATTATGATGTGACATGTACTGACCCAAACAGAAATAGGAATCCTGCCACGTGTGGAGATCTACTCAGTGACATTATATACGAGGCTCTGGTGCTCACGTCACCTCTGCTCTGAAGCGTGATGGAACAACCATGATGTCAGCGTGAAGGACGGCTGATTGAGGAATTTTTAAAACAGAATCTACTGAGAAAATGAGCAGAGCTTGACGGTCTTCTCAGTGCTTCCAGAAGTTTCTGTTAAATCTGCAGTGATGATGTGATGTTGCAACCAGAATGCTGCAAGGGAAAGCTCCGCTCCTCTCATTGGTCAAATTTCTACGTCGCTCTCTTTGTCGTTGTCGTGGTCGCCATCGTAGAACTCATTGGCCGCCTCCGGCCTGAGGAAGTGACATTGTTGACAGCCAGTTAGATATGCGAAAAAACTCACAGTAAAACAACTCGCACTCGTTTTAGCCTCAGCCCGGGGGTGTCCCAGATTACTGACCTGGTGTAGTTTTCCTCGCCCCCCCTCTCGTCGGGGTCAGGCTCATCGTTGCGTTCGTAGCTCAGCATGTCGGAGGGAACGTCATGGATCTGGACGCTGGGTGCGTGGTTCAACATCTTCAAGTTCTCAAACACTGTCTGACGGATCTGCTCCAAGTACTGCAACGACATGTACACGGCTCAAGAAACAACTGGAACACGATGCACAGGCTGTTTTCAAAGCACACTCAGCAGAAGAGTGTCTACAAACTGCGATGTTTGTTTCTTTCTCGGACACTTTAAAATGCTTCCACACTGCCGACATGTTAACGTAATTGTTCGGTAAAATTTAATCGGTCTTTTGATTTATTAGGCCGAACACCTACTTTTGTGAGATACTGCAGGTAACTAACACTTTCTCAGGTCCTGTAGACTATGCTACTATAACACTGTCACTAATTGGTGTGGCGTGGTGTTTCACCTGTCTGGAGTTCTGGTTTTCAATCCTGGTGCTGACATCAGGGTGCAGCGTGAAGTCTGGAGCAAAGTACTCAAAATACTCTGCAGACGACAGAAACGAGAGGAGGACGGAAAGAAGTCAGAGGTGGTTTCTCTCCGTTGTGAAAAATCACGTTGTTCCAACAGATGGCACTAAAAATTGAAAATGCTCACAAATGCATTTTCTCTGCCACCCACAAAAACACAACAGGACTCTACTACTGAAGCCATTCTGGGCAACAGGAACACACGACAGGAAGGCACTGAGGTGCAGCATATTTACAAAATCATAATAACTGAGAGCTTTGGTATATTTAAGTACAACTCACCACTGTAAGGCAGTTCGTCACTGATGGATTCATCCAATAACAGAGATGTCTCAAAGGTCCTACAACGGAACAAAACAGCCGTTATTTGAAATAAAGCCCAGCTCATGAATATCCTCGGGACATGTAACCCCCCCTCGCCTCTTTGACCATTAACACCAGTGTCGGACTTACCAGCAGCGAGCCACGTTCCTCACAGTGTATCCTCCTCCTCCCAGGACCAGCAGAGGAATCTTAAAACTCTTCACAAACTCCACACACTCACTGAGAGACAGAGTGCAAAGCGCACACACACCTTAATGGACAAGTTAAACCCCTGTGTCACCATTACTTTATGTTAAAAGTGACTAAATGTATTGTACCGTGCACACAGAAGGCGTGTGTTTGTAAAAGAGGACTGATGACTATGGTCTGAGCTGAGCTCTGTATCGCGAAAGTGAGAATCATCTTTGGACTCAGCTGTAGGTTCAGCCCAAAGCTGGCTCACTTTTAACCAGGGTGGCTCACAATGGCAAACATTGATATTCATTTGAACTTTCTCATGTGCTCCACATATTTATAGCTTGTTCATTGGACTGAGCTGAACTGGCTTCGTGATACAGGATAAAAAAAATGTAAAAAACCCACAGTTTTTGAAGCTAAGCGCTTCACCTTAACTGGAAAACGGCTATTTCAGATAAGTCAGTCTCACCCATGTCCTCGTATGCTGAGGTTGAAGCAGCCCAATCTGTCACAGCCAAGGGAATCTGCTCCACACTGGAAGAAGGACAACAGACAGGCTTCAAATGTGTTAACAATCATCCTGTGATTACATGCACAGCCTTATAATGTGATAATAGCTCCCTGACCACACTGAAACAGAGGCATCTGTCATTTTCTCACACGTGCACAGTAAACGGTCCATTTGCCGAGATGGCGGGTGTTAATAAAACAGATAAACGCTGCATTAAGAGACTCAGAATTACTCGCTGACCTGCAGAACGATGCAGGTCGGCTGGTAGAAATCCACCACCTGTTTAATAACCGGCTGGAACAGCTGCCTGTAGCCTGGAACACATAAACACACACACACGCGTTGGCCGTGGCTCATATGATGACAAGTTCAGAGCGGTATTTATCTTCAGAGCTACCGACACAGTCAACACAATAATATTACAGTTATTTTATACATTTCAATAATTAAATGTGCGCAGGAAGTCAACTCACTCTGGTCATCGATGCCATCTCTGAGAGGAACATTAAGGCAGTAGTACCGGCCGCTCTCTGCTCCCACCTCATACATGTCGCCTGCAGCAAACACACAGAGAGAGAGAGTATTAATACACACTTGTGCAGAGATGACAGATTAATAACATACTGTACTGAAGCAGCACACCTCCTTTGAACCAAAATGTTAAGAAATCAAATCAGAAATGTGCAGGGTTGGGGATTTATCTCTCTACAAATGTTGGAAATGTTGGAAACACAACAACAAATATTTTAAAAGTCGCTAATGCTTAGTTTTCAGTTCCTCTGCTTAGCTTAGCTGTCTGTTTATAGTACATCTAAACCAGCCATGCAGATGAACGGCACGTTCAGAATCTGTGCAAAAATGAAACAAAAGGAAACACTATTTGAACAACAAAACATGTGTCAGCTCGTACCAGTTCCTGGAAAAAAGTAGTTCCCGTATTTGTGGAAGGACACCGTCATGACGCGGTCAGTCAGGTAAAAGGCTTCCTGCACACCGTCACCATGGTGAATGTCGATGTCGATGTACAGAACCCGAGGGTGGTATCTGTAACACACACACACACAGTCGTAAAGAGAGAAACAGATGGAGCAAATGTTTGCTGAGGGTTATTTAGAGGAGCGTCCTCTTACTTGAGTAGCTCCAGTATACTGATGACGATGTCGTTGACGTAACAAAATCCAGATGCCTGCAAACACAGAAAACTCATTTTAGACCTTTAACACGTTCACAGCTTGATTAAATGCATTTAGCAGAGAGGAATGAGCAATACACAGGACTTTGTTCTGACCTCAAACTTTTTGGCATGATGCAACCCTCCGGCCCAGTTGATGGCAATATCACAGATCTGGAAAACAAAGTAGAATCACTATCAACTAAAGATCACTAAGTCACCATGACTCTGTGGTCACGAGCGGCCTGCCAGCAGTGCTGCAGCCATGTTGCTGCTGTTTCAATCATGAAGTGTTAACACTGTCTGAAGGTGGGACGCCCAGTGATTCAGGGATCATCTGCTAAACCACCACAGAGCAGAACAGTAAGTTAACATGGCAGCAACTAAAATGATAACAATAACTAAATCAGTACCTACGATGCTTGTGGCAGGGGAACTGCTTGAATGGCACAGACTATTGATTTTCACTGACTTCAATCATGTGTGTTTGCACCAAATTGTGTGTGTGTGTCTAAGTTACCTTGTGGTTGAGCTGTGTAGCTCCCTGTAAGGAGGCTCCTGTGTATCTTGAGCAAAACTCAAAAAGACCTGGAAACACAGGACTGAAACAAAAACACACAGGCGAAAAATGTTTTAATTATGGTTTAGTCACTCCTCTGAGAGTGATAGGGCTGGGGCAGTTCATCGACATAATCAACATCATTGAAGGAACATACAAAAATATATCACCGTGCGTAACACACAATCAGGGTATATTAGGATTATCAACTCAAGGAACCTGTTTCTGTTAGCAGTACTCACTTAAAATTGATTTTTAATTGTTTCTTCTTCGCCCCCAATGAAATGAATACATGTCCGAACAATTTCAAGTCAAGTAACTCAAGTAAAAATTCTGATTCTTCAGCTTAGTGAAAGGATTCACCCAGATTGTTTAAATGAATCTGTGTCAGAGCAGGCCTTTTGAATATGAGGTCCAGTATTTTTCTGACCATCTAACAAATAGGGTCTGTTGTTATTATTATTATAAATATAATAACACAGCAATGACATTGAAATAAGACTCATTTTAAGATATGCCACTTTTATCATTATTCTAATATGCTTTATATGCCTCTTTTCCAGGATGACAGAATAAAATATTAATTTATTAAGACAAGTGTTTGATATTTATTTGATAGATTCATTGCTGTATGAATTGAGTAATAAAAAAAGGCCTTTAGAATAATCAGTAAACTAGTCGTTAGATTTATCCATTATTAAAATAATCCGTAGGCGCAGCCCTAAACAGCGATAGTCAACTGAATAGTTATTAGATGGAGAATACAGGCATTTAAGCATTTGACTAATCACTAATGTTTCAAGGGAGTAAGAAGAGCAATAGCACTACTTTAAAATTATGAGATATTCAATTGTCCTGGATACAAAGGAAATGACCCAGAACCTGATATTAAATACTGATTTGTTTGCGCTATGACTGTGCAGTAAATTGCAATAGCGTCAAAATATTTAAAGAGGTGGTATTATGCTCATTTTTAAGGTTCAAAATCTTATTTAGGGGTTGTACCAGAACAGGTTTACATGGTTTAATTTTCCAAAAACACCTTATTTTTTGTCATACTGCACATTTCTGCAGTTACTCTTTTCACCTTGTGTTGAAGGCTTCGTTTTAGCTATGGAGTGATACATCTTGTCTCTAAATGATCTTTGTTGGGAGTTGCACATGTGCAGTTCCTAGTTAAGGACTACTAGCTAATCAGAAGCAGAGAAGGGCGGGTCAGCGAGAAGCCGCAAAACACAGCTTTGTTGGAGCAAGAGTTTCAGAATGATGAGTTATTCATTTTTAACAAATGTATCTTTCATCCATAAAGTTTTAACTGAGCTCTGTCTCTACATCACAGTAACAACTTCATGTCCACTGACTGCCTGCTCTAGTGTTTGGAAGGGAGAGGAGGTGTGGGCTGCAGCTCAGCATTTTTCCACCGGTGTTTTTGAGGGCGTGTCGGAGTAGCCGCTTGGCGAGCGTTATATGAGGCGCATTTAGCTTTTCTGTTTTTTCTGTGGGAGATGGGAACTCCCTTTGGGCTGGACTTTGGGCTTTTTCACTTTGCAAACCTATTACACAAAAAAGATATATAACTCAATAAAGGAGAGGGAAAAAGCCAAAAAGCACAATACCACCTCTTTAACAATTTTGGCATTAATATTTTCCACATCAACCATTTTCATGAAAAACAGTAATACTCACCAGTCATCTCCGACATTGAACGTGTTGAGGCTCTTTGTGAAGCCCTGCATATTATTGGGGCTGACCTTCTGTAGGAAGTCTATGTAGTCTTCAGAGTGGAACCGACACATGTCATGCTGAGATGCTTTGTATGGCTTGAACACCTAATAAGGAAAAATAATAATAATTAGTTAAAATTTTGCATTAGTTTAAAAACTCCTGATTTTAGTGAGGTTTTAAAAAAAATGAATCAAAAGGGTGAGCAAATGTTATTTCAGTGTGAAAACTGAATCTAAATCTGCTTACCATCATTTTCTTGTAGAGTCCATAGTGCAACACCAGACTGTGAGTCAGGGACAAACGGTGAGGCTTCATGGGGTGGCCAGCACCTGGCAGAGACAGCAACGCATTCATAGTGTATTAGAATGACGTGCCCAATATATAAATAAGTCATCTTAATTTCAGGACCACACAAAGCAGACTAACAAATAAAAAATCTAAGAGCCCATTGTGCATAATGATGGTTAAATCACTAACCACAGAAAAGTTGTTAAATATACTAAAACAGCAGGCTACATCTTTATAGATAGTGTACAGTTATTCTTTATTTTCATAATAATATCAATCAATCGAGCAATAACAGTATTAAGTATAATTCAATTCAATTCAAATGAGCTTTATTGGCATGAATGTATAACAACAATATTGACAAAGCATCATACAAACTACATAAGAACAATCATAACATGTGAGCATGCTGTGTCCATATAATAAATCACCTTCAGCTCTGCATATTTTTATCATCAGAGCATTAAAGTTTGACTTTTCAAAGCAGCATAACTCTTATTGTAAACTAATCTCTAATTGCTGCATCCTGATTAATTTAAACTGTTACAGTTACTGAAGGAAGTACATAGACGTCTCAGGAAAAGTCGAAACAGACAGACAGCGAACATTTTGAGAACTGTCAATCCAGATAACTAACGTTAACCCAGCGTTAGCTAACTTTGCTACGCAAGCCAGATGCTGGGGAATTTGTACAAAATGTAACAATGAATATGACATTGTGCTACAGTGAAAAACAGCACAACAGATCTCCACATGCACCGACAGGGCGTGAAATGCTCAAAATTAAACAAAAATAAAATAAAACCCATCCCTTAAATTGTTAGCATGTAGCTAGCACATTAGCACCATGTACCCTTTGTCGGCCTGTTCACTGCGATAACCAAACTCACCATAATGAAAGTTGCCCACGTCTGGGTCATAAAAATAAGATGTTCTGTTGGTCATTCTCAACGAAATATCTTCTGACTTTTTTCCCGTTAAACTATGACTGTTCTTGCAGCTATAAAACCCACATTTTCCTTTCAATTAACAGACAGCCGCCATGGTAAACACCGACAACACTACGTCATCAGACAGGGACAGCGGTGACGGAGAGGGGAGGGGGGACAGGACGCGACAGAAAAAGATTAAAATCAGATTTTCTTAAATTGGTCACTGGTTAAATGCTGATCACAGCTGAACACGAGCCACCCTGCAGACTTCATCGTAATGGGCGGTGACACCTGATGAGTGGGAGGATAGAGGCCCTCTAACTAACTCTAAATTTGACAGTTATTAGAAATAATTAAATCAATTTATTGATAAAATGATAAGGACTTTTTAAACTTTTGTTCCCATGACTCCAGTAAAGAGAAGTAGGCTACATCCAGTCAGTTCATCCGTACACCCCAAGATGCACATGATAACTGCAGGCTAGACCGTTGCTATTACACAATATCACAAATTTTATTTTCATCTTCTTTAATTCACTTCAGATACTGTATACAATATTACAATATAAAATAATACAATATACTTATAGTATAACGTAACAATACAAAATTAATGAAACCTATGGAGAACTTTTCATTATGCTCACAATCTTTCCATCTGACAGCTATATCTCATGCTTTCCTTAGTTCAGAATCTTTGACAAAAAAAATAAAGGTAAGGCCATTTCAGAATTACTGCTGGCATGTGGCTGAATGGTGCAGCCAGTGCATTAAGCTGGCATCATAAATAGCTTTCTAGATCTAGTTAATTTAGGCTATCTAGCATGTATAGTCACTGTAAAATAACATTTATCCCAAATGATGCACTTTTTTTTGTTGTTATATACAGTATGTAAATGCTCCGTATTTGTATAGCACCTTCTACGCTACATCACACCATTCACACACTGAGCCTAAATGCTCAAACAGAAACTAACATTCACACACATTCCTACATTGGTTGAACAGCCACCAAAGGCAATTCAGGGTTCAGTATCTTGCCCAAGGACACTTCGACATGCAGCCTGGAGGAGCTGGGGATTGAACTTCTGACCTTACAATTAACAGGCAACCCGCTCGATCTCCTGAGCCACAGCCACCCGAAGAGACAAAGAAATATATATTTTAGCTGAGCACATTGAAAAATAATTTTGACACTCATTTTAATACATACTACCACATTATCAAAGGTGATTAAAAAAAACATAAAACAAAACAAAAAACATAGACAACATCAAAATGTACGAGAAATTAGACGTATACGATATATCTTAAGCATTTTATCGATTATTTGAGAGGTCTTTTAATAGCTTTCTTGTTAGTCCTAGAAGCAGAGAGAAAGAGATACTGTAATTCAACACAAAACTGACAGATATAAGTTGTGCTGTTGGAAGCTCCTAACTTTATGGATGTGATATTGCCGACAAGACAGATAAGCTTAAGAGCATTATATGTAGTTTGTGAGCCAGTATTACAATTCAGAAACAAAAGTATGACTTTCTAATATTGGTGTTAATCTAATACAACTTATAATAACCCAGAACTCTTAAGATTAAATATAGAATAAGTGAGAAATTGATTCAATTTCTGTTTTACAGAAAGACTGGAGAAATTTCTACTTTAAATGTATGTAATATTTTATTACAAGGGTAGTATCTATTTAATATATTCATGTGAACATCTTTTATTTTATTTGGAATGAGGAATGTATTAGGGTCTTACCAAACTTTCAGACAAAGATTACACCTTTATCAATCACATATTTTATGTATTTGAACTTGTTTCTGGACAATACATGCTGATCATTCCATATTATGCATGAATGTGGAGAAACATTATGTTTGAAAGCAAGAATTCAAGCTTCAAGAGCCTGTTTGTGAAAACAGTAAAGCTTGAGTGGCAGGTTATTCCACTTAAAATTACAAGATAACAGAAATAGACCACCAGACAGTCAAATAACAAATTAGGCATATAAAACTACTGACAATTACATTTAGACATATGGTTTAGACAAACACTGCTTAATGCTTGCTTAATACTCTTCTTACCGCTACACAACTTATTGATGTCTTATCAGAATGATGTACTATGTACTGTTAAAATATCACATTGACTCTGATTAATTTTAAGACCTAAATGGCACTTCATTCTTTAAAAATATAAACAGGAATCATTAGCTAGTTGAAAAATGATTAACTTATTTTCTCCTATTTTCATACCTTCAGCATCTTCTGCAGTGTATTGGTAAAAAAAAGTCAGCAGCAATTCAAAATAAAATTTAATATCAAAACGAGGTTAACTACCGTTACCAAAAGAGACACTGATGTCTGTGTGAACCATGTTTCTGAAATTTTTCCAAAATTTTCCAAAATGAAGTAAAGCTTCATTATTAATGGTTGTTCCACACTGTCGAAGGCTTTGTAAAAATAAATATATATATAACTGCTTCTTTGTTAATAAAATTGGAATAATCTAATATGTCTTGGATTAAAAAAACGTTATTACATTATGATTTATCACCAACATTAAATATATGTGGCCCTTCAAAGCTCCAATAATTGCTCTGAATGGCAATGTACAGTGGGGAGAACAAGTATTTGATACACTGCTGATTTTGCAAGTTTTCCTATTTACAAAGCATGTAGAGGTCTGTAATTTTTATCATAGGTACACTTCAACTGTGAGAGACGGAATCTAAAACAAAAATCCAGAAAATCACATTGTATGATTTTTAAATAATTAATTTCCATTTTATTGCATGACATAAGTATTTGATCACCTACCAACCAGTAAGATTTACTCACACTTAAACAGTAAGAACTCCGTCTCTCACAGACCAGTTAGTTCTTCTTTAAGAAGCCCTCCTGTTCTCCTCTCATCACCTGTATTAACTGCACCTGTTTGAACTTGTTACCTGTATAAAAGACCCCTGTCCACACACTCAATCAAACAGACTCCAACCTCTCCACAGTGGCCAAGACCAGAGAGGTGTGTAAGGACATCAGGGATAAAATTGTAGACCTGTGCAAGGCTGGGATGGGCAACAGGACAATAGGCAAGCAGCTTGGTGAGAAGGCAACAACTGTTGGCGCAATTATTAGAAAATGGAAGAAGTTCAAGATGACGGTCAATCTCTCTCGGTCTGGGGCTCCATGCAAGATCTCACCTCGTGGGGCATCAATGATCATGAGGAAGGTGAGGGATCAGCCCAGAACTACACGGCAGAACCTGGTCAATGACCTGAAGAGAGCTGGGAACACAGTCTCAAAGACACTAAGCCGTCATGGATTAAAATCCTGCAGCGCACGCAAGGTCCCCCTGCTCAAGCCAGCGCATGTCCAGGCCTGTCTGAAGTTTGCCTATGACCATCTGGATGATCCAGAGGAGGAATGGGAGAAGGACATGTGGTCTGATGAGACAAAAATAGAGATTTATGGTGTAAATTCTGCTCGCTGTGTTTGGAGGAAGAAGAAGGATGAGTACAACCTCAAGAACACCATCCCAACCGTGAAGCATGGAGGTTGCACCGTATTGAGGGGAGGATGGATGGGGCCATGTATCGCGAGATCTTGGCCAACAACCTCCTTCCCTCAGTAAGAGCATTGAAGATGGGTCGTGGCTGGGTCGTCACACAGCCAGGGCAACTAAGGAGTGGCTCCGAAAGAACGTCTCAAGGTCCAGGAGTGGCCTATCCAGTCTCCAGACCTGAACCCAACAGAAAATCTTTGGAGGGAGCTGAAAGTCCGTGTTGCTCAGCGACAGCCCCAAAACCTCTGGAGAAGGTCTGTATGGAGGAGTGGGACAAAATCCCAGCTCCAGTGTGTGCAAACCTGGTCAAGAACTACAGGAAACGTCTGATCTCTGTAATTGCAAACAAAGGTTTCTGTACTAAATATTAAGTTCTGCTTTTCTGATGTATCAAATCATACAATGTGATTTTCTGGATTTTTGTTTTAGATTCGGTCTCTCACAGTTGAAGTGTACCTATAATAAAAATTACAGACCTCTACATGCTTTGTAAGTAGGAAAACTTGCAAAATCAGCAGTGTATATACTACTTCCCCCCACTGTATCTAACATGTCTTTACTGGCATGTCCTTCTGCATTTGTATGGTTTAGTCATACATTCATTAAAAACAGCAATCATGTTAATTTAAATCAGACCTATATATATATATATACAGTATATCAGATCAACCAAAAATAATTGGGGACAATACTGGTGCACTCAATCAAAAAAGAAAATGGTCTCAGCTTGGTTTTTCAAAACACCTTCAGAGTGGATCCAAATCTGCTGACACTGCCCTACACAGAACACACAAAGGTTATAATAAGGATAATTTTAAAGTGCTTTTTCAGAAACTTAGACCAAATATTTTCATTGGTATCCAAATGTTGGAAAAACAAATTGCTTGTGTTGTTTTTTGTGACTGACAGCAGCAAAAAAACCGTAGAGATGAAAACGTGATTTGTGCATGCTGTGTACAGATGTGGATCATGACTACCTCTGAGCTATTGTAAGGATTATTGTGTTAATCAGTTGATTTTGACAGCATCTAGCAATGTCAGGCAGAATAACGTGCCTCTGCAGGTCATGTTATAAATAACTTGAATTCAATACAGCACCAAAGAGCTACCTGTGTGGAACTGTTTGAACACCTGACAAAAAAACTTGTGAACAAGAGGTTGATGGAGATTTTCCAGATTATAATAAGAGAGAAACCAGACTGTACACATGTGGCAGAAGGTGCACGAGTTGTAACACAAAGCAGACGTTTTACCCTGCATCCATGGGATTTAACACACATGTTGTAAAGACCTGAAAAACACATACTGTACTTTCTATTCTTGTACCAAGAGGATTTAATGTTTTTCAAAGATGCTCAACCTGAAATTTCGTCTACATCTCCTATCTTAAATCTGTCTCCCTTCTGTCTTCCAGTCTTTCTCCACCTTTCCCCTCTCTCTTACTTTCCACAGTAAAGAACAAAATCTGTGTGTGTGTGTGTGTGTGTTTGAAATGGCAAGAGCAGATGTGCCCAAGAGGTCTACCAGCACAACCTTACATAGACATGTCTGCTTGTAGTGTCTACGTGTGTTCTA